GAAGCTTTGACGTTTCATTAAATTATAAGGGAAAGGAGACGATTCTTTGTACCATTCTCGACTCTTAATCCTTGTCTGAATTCAGTTTTCCCCTGCCCGCGCGTAGCGCGTAAGCTTTGACGGTTCATTAAATTATTAGAGGAAGAAGACGAATCGTTTTACCATTCTCGTCTCTTAATCCTTGTTTGAATTCAGTTTTCCCCCTCCCGAGCGATGCGCGGAAGCTTTGACATCTCATTAAATTATTAGAGAAAGAAGACGATTCGTTGTACCGTTCTCGACTCTTAATCCTTGTCTGAATTGAGTTCCCTCCCTCCCTCCCTCCCCCCCCCCCCCCCCCCCCCCTCCCGCGCGAAGCGCCGAAGCTTTGACGTTTCATTAAATTATAAGGGAAAGGAGACGATTCTTTGTGCACATCTCGACTCTTAATCCTTGTTTGAATTCAATTTTCCCCCTCCCGCGCAAAGCGCGGAAGCTTTGACATTTCATTAAATTATTAGAGGAAGAAGACGATTCGTTGTAACATTCTCGACTCTTAATCCTTGTTTGAATGTAGTTTCCCCCCTCTCGCGCAAAGCGTGGAAGCTTTGACCTTTCATTAAATTATTAGAGAAAGAAGACGATTCGTTGTACCATTCCCGACTCTTATTACTTGACTGAATTCAGCCCCCCCTCTCCCTCCCCTCCCGCGCGAAGCGCGGAAGCTTTGACGTTTCATTAAATTATAAGGGAAAGGAGACGATTCTTTGTACCATTCTCGACTCTTAATCCTTGTCTGAATTCAGTTTTCCCCTGCCCGCGCGTAGCGCGTAAGCTTTGACGGTTCATTAAATTATTAGAGGAAGAAGACGAATCGCTTTACCATTCTCGTCTCTTAATCCTTGTTTGAATTCAGTTTTCCCCCTCCCGAGCGATGCGCGGAAGCTTTGACATCTCATTAAATTATTAGAGAAAGAAGACGATTCGTTGTACCGTTCTCGACTTGTCAGAATTTTCAAAAATGTTTCTTTGTCTGCTCCTTTTTCGTCCTATGTCCTCTTACTGCCCCTACCGCCCCTGGCTACGCTTCTGCTTTAAAGGGAAAATGAAACAATCATGATTGTGATAGCACACGATTAGGATAGTAGAAATGAAAGATCTATTACACCAACCATGGATAAATCACTGCCGGGAGCGTCATAGTTTTGTGTTATCGGGCGAGGGCCAGGGCGTAGCGACCAAGCGAGTTTTGCAATGTTGAATGCTGAAATTATGCATTCTAGAAAATCCCTAAGCCCAATATGTACGTTCTTTCCGCTATATTTCTTTCTAGCTATATTTCTAAATTTCCTGGAGGACGTGTCCCCCTATCGGGCCCAGGATTGCCGCCCCTGTCCATGATTACTACCAACATGAGTTCAAATACAAGCACAAGCGAGTTGGTATGAGCTGAATCCAAAATAATGAAGGGCAAAATAAGAGTTGTGAAGCGGTCCTACCGTTGATTCTAAATTTGACTGTTGAGTATATAACTTCTATTTAAAAGACATCCAAAATATTGTGCCCTTTTCAAATTTCTCACTAAAGAGGGAATGACCACAGGGGCTGTTCTTAACGTTTAACTTTGAATCCGCGGCTCGAGATTTTATGCGGCCGGCCCGGCCCCCCTCTATTCAATAACGTTTGCCAAGCCTTCAGAATGACCCCAAATCTCCCGATTACAGTTTCCCCCATTCGTCGTTACTGTCACTTAGCGCCATTTCATTGTCTTTCCCCCTTTCTCACCGACTTTTCTTCCCCCCCCCCCCACCCACTCGGTGTTATCTAGGGTACGCACATGTATGTTCCCTCTCTTTGAAAGCACCCCTCTATCTCCGGTGTGTAAAGTCAGTACGGGCCGGATTTTTGTGTATTACGGGCCGGACTTTGTTGCGTGAAAAGTAACTCTTTATCGGAAATTTTGGGAACATAAATTCGGTCCCTCCTCCGACCCCGGAATGAGAGGGAGGGGGGGGGGGGGGGGCTTTCTTCTTTATCTTTTCTCTTCTCTTTTTTTCTTCTCTTCTTTTTTCCTTTCTCTTCTCCTTTCTTTTCTCTTCTCCTTTTTTTCTTCTCCTCTTCTCCTTTCCTTTTTTCTCTTCTTTTCTTCCTCTTTTTTTTCCTTCCTTTTTTTGCTCCGCCAATAGGGGGGGGGGGGCCGCGGCCGTTTCGGCCCCCCTGGATCCGCCACTGCAGTAAGACTGCTGCCCTCTAAAATGGATGAATTACGCTACGCCACTGATACAAACAGTGTTACAGTGATACATGCCCAATAGCATTCTCAAGGAGAAAATTGATTGATAGACTGGTCAAGCGAAATCGAAACGAAATATGTATTTAATTGGCCAGTCAAAATAAACATATACACATGATAAACCTAATAGTAACATTTAGGTGCTTCGAGGCCCATACCACCCCTCCCTATCCGGTACTTTCTCAGGGTATTGGTAGTGGTCCTGTAATAAACAAATATCCCTTTTCCCTCGACCAAAAGAAATAAAACTTTAAAACAACCTCTTCGGTAGATATTGGACATGCGAATTTATTTATATGGGCTCAACTATGTTTCCAAGAAAAAATTTATGAAACCAATTACACTTGCCTAGAACAATGGGCATATAAAGAAATAATTTTCTTTCAGGATGAAGTTATTGGAAAATCACTCACGCACCCTCCCACCCACACACGAATTATCCCTTACATAGCAACAGGATACTTCTAAGAACACAGGAAACAATTTCTCTGTTTGTTTTCCACCGTCTGAATGAAGTCGAGATTGATGAGGGAAAACTCGAACGGAGACGCTACGTATGCTGTGATGCCAGGAGAAAGATGGCCCTCTATTTGAATAGCTGTGTGTACAGACGCCTCAAATGAGACCTACATCGTCTATGGGATGGGAAATGTTGCATAGTTTGTATCGTCTACTCAAGTAAACAGGAAAGATGTTGAATGGAAAGTGTAATGGATGTGAGGAAAATTAATCAGTCTGCTATATTTAAAGCTCCATTCAAGCAAAAATCTTAGCTTGTTTATTTTAGTGGAAAGTTTTTCCAACAAACATGACAAAGAAACGCCCTGTCTGGCTGTCTCTGTGATATTGATTTTAAATCATCCTCACCACCACCGTTACCACCACCATCATCACCACCACCACAACAACCACTACCAGTCACCGCCACCATCATCTCCACCACCAACAACACTACCCCAACATCACCACCGACACTATCACCACCAACGCTACAATCCCCACCAACCACTAAAAGTGGCGCAGCATTGGTCCAGTCATCGAGGGGGTGCTGGTTACAGGGGTGGGGTTACCCGTTGCCAGTGCCTCTAAATAGATAAATTTGAGAGAACAAGGAAATCAAATGAGGGATGGTTCGGGGAGGAGGTCTTTCCACGCGTTGCCTGTAATTTCCTCTTTATTTCCCTTCGTCTCCCATGATCCCCCTCTCTCTCACAATGTCTGTCCCTCCCTCCCCTTTTTATCATTCGATTGGGTACACGTGTCCTCGTAGCTTTGTCAGTGACCAAGACGCACACGGATATGTGTTATGATAATTAGTTTATTACATGATTACAAAAAACACTAATAAATTGATAAACATCATGATTTTGTTATCATTGCTTGCATCATACTTTGAAACGTGTCTCCCCATTATGTAATACGTCTGCATGGTCTATTAAATTATTCTAGTAATGATTGTATTTTGCGCTATTGAGATATTGTTCGATCCCTATCAATTTACCATTGCAAATATGTTTTTTAAAACTCGAAATTAAACATGATGTTACATATTTCTCTCCGTGGCGCAAATGGGCAATATATTATAACGCTTATTTAGATAGAGGGCGGCAAATACGAATATTCTGTGACAGATTTTATGATCAGATCAGAGGTCGATCAAGGAATTTATTGAACCGGGGGGGGGGGGGGGGCATAGGTTCGAAAATATCCCGAAAACCTCACAGAAATACACAAGTTATATGTTTTCACATTCCTTAGCTCCTAATTTATTGAAAATAAAGCTTTATCAAGCATAAAGTAAATTTAAAAGGTTTTCAGATTTTCCAGGTGCCTTTTGTGTATAAAGTTTGAGATGGGGCACAAATTAGTGGGCAATTTTGAATACTCAGGGTATACTCTATTGGATGGGGAATGGGTTAGTTGTTCCCCCCCCCCTCCCTGATCGAAAAATGTCCTTTACCACGGGGATCATTATCCCAAAAATGAAATGAGGTTAATGAATTCAAACTTTTAAATGGCTTCCCTTTTCCACTTCATTTTATTTTAGGGATTTTGATTACACATTAGGATATTGAACGTATCTTCATATCCACGAAGATGAATGATCCCATTACTTCTAACATGATAATTATGTTCACCCCCCTGTATCATGACAATACCCCCTGGACAATCACACCCCACCCCCCCCCCCCGAAAAATTATCCCCTGGAAAACTACCTCCCAAGGACAACCCCCCCCCCCCCCCCCGAAGACAAATTTGTTGTCACTTTCAAAGCGCTTCGCTTGGAACATTTACTGTAAATTAGATATTTTGTAAATTTCCTTGTTTAGAGCCAAGTTGCATCCAAGGTCATGATGTCATAGAGATATATACTTAATATGTTTATCTCTTTTCCATGAACATGTTATAGACATACTCAATTACATGAACTAAAAAATTACTGTAAAGTAATTTCATGACCGAGCGTTCAAAATTGCTTCCATGAAATTGAAACTCGTGGGGGGTGGGGCCGGGGGGGGGGGTGAACTTGTACAGACTATGACATTTTTTTAAAGCACATTTTCTTTAAAAAAAACTCAAATGAGTGATTTTGATCAAGATTTTGTAAAACCATGGACCTAGGTCCATGGTTAGACACTACAAAAGTCTACTAATAAAATGTTAAAATGTTCAACTCCTGAACGGAATTTTGGTACACAGTTACGACTGAAATGCAGACTGGTCAATTAGGCCTAGGTGTATATCCATTATCGTCACCTCCTCAAAACTGGGAGTTTCAGCGATTAAAATGATGGTCCTACAGTCAGTTCCAGATGGTGAGTGGAAATTTATATCATTTTCATTGTTATGTAATAAAGTATTATATAAATGTGTTCTAAAGATAGCAAATAATGGAGAATTTACATCTGTACTGTAATACATTCTTGACTACAGTCCCGCATATTGATATTAATGTACTACTAGAGTAAAGGAGCCGGTAATCGGACAGCTCCAGTTTTTGGCCGATCCATTGGATGCATGGTAAAATCCCTTTAAAATACATCGCATAATAGCACAACACATATCCCACATGCACACATACCATACCATGCCAGAGTCACTGAAGAACCACATTTGCAATGGAAAATATATCCTAAAATATCACATTTTAGCGATGTAATCGGCGGTCCCGCTACCCAAATCTGAAAAATCGAGTTTCTTACGCGTGTATGTAAGAAATATGGGTACCATAAAATCAGTTTTATTTCAAGTATTTTTCAGATTAAGAGCCGATTTTGTGTTAGTCGCAAGCTCAAAAGTATCTCATCGCATGTATTAAATCAATGCAGCCGGACCCTGCCACGCACACACGATATGTCTGTCTAATTCAGATTCCAACTTCCGATCACCGCTGTGCCTGTCTTCGGCCAGGCGAGCACCAGGGAGCTCCGGCGTGGGATACCTGCTCCGCCCGCTTGTGCTGTACATCAGCACGGAAACGCACGGCGCGCGCGAGCGCTTCCTATTGACTTTGTACATGCGGCCGTAAACTGAAACGCTCGGCCGATAACTGGCTCCAAAACAGTGAAAATTGAAATGAATATTGTCATGGCAATTCGTGATTTTTTTCTGGGATTCTTTTTTTGTTTAAATAATAATAATATTTGCTATATGATTTGAACAAGAAATGATAATAAATAGGAAGTAAAGAGTCAAAAAAATAGGATTTTGTCTTAAGTGGCCGAAAACCGGCTCCTTTACTCTAGTGCACTTTCGCCGCTTTTGCCGCTTTTGCTGTGTTTCATTTTGTCACACCCAAGTTATGGAGTGGGAATGAGGAAACCAAGGCAATTTCATGCATGTTACAGCATAAATTCAGCACTCCCGGCCGGTGGCGGTGCAAAAGTACACTAGCACCAAATGTAGTAACCAGCCAGTAAGGCGCCCTAGTCCTAGAGGCCTTGGGATATTTAAACGGTAAACTGCTGCAATAAAACCCCCTCATCCTTGTTTGCTTCCTAACGCCGTAACGGAACGTTGAGGAGTATACCAAAGAAAAAGAAGAAGAGGAAGCCTCTGCGATATTTATGTGTAAATGAATGACAAGGGCATGCAACATTGGACCTGGCGTAATTCGCTGGAGGCCGTTTCTCAAAACCAACTCCATGACAGTCGTATCTTTGTCGGCGACCTACGGAGATGTCATGAAGTGGATAAACCGTTTCACAAAGCCATGACAGACATGATATTGATATATCGCAATACTAGCAGCTCAAGAACATAGTCTTTGTCACGATCCATTTGATTTATCAAGAATAACCCAAAACAAGTTTTGGGGCTAAAATTGTTCAAAAAGAAATATATACATATAAAATCACCTAAAGTAAATAATAAATAGTGTTATTATCAAATTTAGGTCATCAAACAATTAGCATATTTCTGTAAAGATTCTTAAATTGAAGAAAAACCGGTGAGTGTTTTTTTTTTTGACAGTCGAATGAAAAGTTAGTTGAAGGATACCGTAATGTGATAGTTTATCAATACATACTTTTTTGTTTATTGTGACGAGGAATTTTAGGCAAAATATCTTTTCTCAGCCAGTTTTTATTCTAGAGTCTCAGAAATACTGGTTGTATAATTGATTTGATATTGAAAATATAATTTGGAAGAAGTAATTAGAGAGGGAATAATAATGCACATAGGCCCCAAAGGTATGACGGTATCCTAAGAAAAGACTATGGATCGACTATGGAAAACGGTGTGTAACATTCTTATCTCTCTTATTTATATGTTATAGTTTAATGATTTGTGATTTAATGTTTATATTCAGCTTTTAAACATTTCTGTATAATTTGTATTATCACTTTTTTACATTTCGCATCCCGGAGAATTACGTACCGAACTCGTCTGTATTTTTCTCAAAATGATAGTGAAACTAATCGTACATTTTACGACCCATGGAATAGCAACAAACTGACCTGTGATGGCGCTTTACAGCAATTAAAAAGATATGACGGGTTCGGAGCAGTGACAACTCATTGTCGCGGAAGTTGTCGCTCATCTTGGCAAAGACGGCTTCGTGAAACACTTTGCTGACAAGTTGCGTGACAGTGGCGAGATGTCTTTGATCTTTTGATCTTGTAGTTATGACGGTTTCGAGAAACGGCCCCCTGAGCTCTATCTAGAGTCTATGTTGTAACATACCAAAATGTGACGCGTACTACACTTTACGTCATTTAAAACTGCTGCAGTATTGTGTTTTTATATCCGAACAAGGCCTAGTAGTCAGGCTAAGTAAAAATTTGATGCTAGAGGATCTACTATAGAGAAGAAAAAAAATTGAAATCAACATCAAGTCTAAGTTGCACTAGATGACTGGAAAGTGTCATTTGCTTGCACAATCTGAAGATCAACCATGGTCTTTTGGGAGTGAATTTAATTTTCAAACTTAGAGGCCTATATTTTAGCATCTTATTTTTTTTCTTTTTCTCTCTCTCTCCCTTCCTTTCTGTATTGAACAGGTTTTGGGGAAGCTGTGACCTATCTCAATTCCATGCCACAGGATGTAGTCGCTGAAGTATGTCAGGAGGTTCTAGCATTCCTCAGCTACAAGAAAGGAAGCTTAGAGGTTGCTCCTTTCATAGCAGTAAGTTGATTCATTTTCTCTGGGAAATGGGGATAGGAAGGAGTGAGGCACAAGCTTTGAAACCTGTGCCCTAAATAGTGACTTAGTGGGCATCACTTTTCTGACCGATAGATATTCTGTTATGCACTGCACCTTCCACCAACTGCCCCATCAAGAAAACTCATTATCATAAATTTCTCTCACCAAAGGAGCTCAAAAAAATTGAGGAGTATTTCTTTGTTGGACATCAAATTTAAATGTGTACACACATCAATCAGGTCAGGTGTCTGTGAATTATGACATCCCATGCATAGAAACTGCCGACAGTACGTCTTAAAGATATTTGTCAACATCTAGGAGACCTAACTAGTATTTGTTAGGGTTAGGACTGTGGATTATAAATTTGTACTTTCAATTTCTTTTATTTTAAACATTATAAAATGGAAAGAATATTTATTTTACAATCTTATTAAATGGGTAAAGCTAATATGTTTCTGATAATGGACAACATCTTTTAGTTGCTATCTTGGGTGAATTAAGGAAAAAAATTCTTATTTTCCTTTTTTCCTAGAAATTGGAAGCAGCAGGAGTGGAGGCGAGTATTGAGTCTGTGAGAGGTTCTGCAAATGCGTTATCATACTTGTTCAGGTGAGGTCTAATTACCCATTATTGACAATTTAGTATCTCATTGATATTTAAAGAGAATGTTGAGTTCTGGTCAAGCGATTGTATTGTGAAAGAAACGTTGTGGAATCGATCAAAAAAGATTGATCATCTGGCATATAAGTATCCATGTGTATTGCAAGGTTCTGGAATCATCAAAATTAGGCCTGAGTCGGTACGGTCGATCACACCGGGACCCGACCGTTGCCGTCGGGTCCCGGTTTCGTTTTTTGAGAACCGACGCTCCGAAAAAAATAATGAAATATGTAAGAAATTGCAGTTTTGCACACCACTAAAATCAATCCACCTTAAAACTTAAGTATTTAATTGTTACCAATCATATTCTAGCTCATCCTGAATCAATCCGAACTGCTGATATAAATATGGGTTGCAAAGCAGTTCGCCCCATGGGGTTGTTGTTGCCAGCTGCTAGCTAGCTACTGTACTGGCCGGGTCTCTCGGCAGGATTAATAAATCAGGTTGAAAGAAACATTAATGTTTGAATAATAAAACGGCTTTCTAAAAATACTTCTTTACAACATACCGATCGAACAATTTTTAAAAGACAAAATAGATATTTTTTCTTTGATTTTAAACACCGCATGCTTCTTTTAAAAACTGAAAATTACTTGGTAATCACAAGAAGTTTCGATACGGATAGTTGTTGCAAGGCAAGTTCAGACTAGTCTCGGAAAAATGCGCAGTGCACCTCGTTAACTGTAATGCGTGCCCAAACGAAACCAAACAATGACGTGATCGTAACGAGAAAAAAATCATTACAAACTACGAGAGCACAATTGGAAAGACAACTACCTGTACTCAAAATTATCGTAAGCAGATACATAACTTGGAGGAAGAATACAATAGTTGTCCAGGAAAAGCCACAGAAATAGTGATAATCGAGGAGAAACTGGGTACATTTTTATCGCAAGGGGCCTGCTGCAAATACTCGAATCCTTTGTTATACTGCTTTTTACCGTAGAGGGCGATATTTGGTTTCTAGCCTCGTGTTCAATTTAAACACGTGTAGTTCGAGTATTTGCAGGAGGCCCATTCAGATAATGATTGTACCTATAGTAACTCCTTAAATATCACTATTTCTGTGGCTTTTCTTGGACAACTATTGTATTCTTCCTCCAAGTTATGTATCTGCTTACGATAATTTTGAGTAGTTGTCTTTCCAATTGTGCTCTCGTAGTTTGTAATGATTTTTTTCTCGTTACGATCACGTCATTGCTTGGTTTCGTTTGGGCACGCATTATACAGCTAACGAGGTGCAGTGCGCATTTTTCCGAGACTAGTCTGAACTTCCCTTGCAACAGTTATCCGTATCGAAACTTCTTGTGATTACCAAGTAATTTTCAGCTTTAAAAAAAAAAGCATGCGATGTTTAAAATAAGAGATAAATATTTATTTTGTCTTTAAAAATTTATTTGATCGGTATATTGTCAAGAAGAATTTTTTAGAAAGCCGTTTTATTATTCTAACATTCATATTTTTTGACCCGATTTATTCAACCTGCATGAATCAAAATGGCTGCTCGAATGTTGTCTTTCCGTTTTTGCCCCAGTTTTTTTACTTTTAGAGGCACGATAATGGCACTAAAAATCGCCAATCATCTATGAAAAAAATGTCAAGTGGAAAAATATACCGATCTGAGGCGAGGTATGCATGTGTTGATTTATTTGATTGATAAAAAGGTCACTTTTAAGGGACATACTGATGATATGCGCTTTTTATAGAGGCAAGTGACAAATCCTGCGAGCTGATTTCGGGACACCGGGTCCCGATCGGTGCAAGGCCGTCGGGACCCGGTTTATGAAAATCCCGACATGACTCAGGCCTAATCAAAATGCTAAGAAATTTGGCCCAGTCTAGTTACAAAGTTACAAGCACTGTACACAGAAAGATGTATATAGGACTAAACAAACATGGGGCGAAAAAATCTGTCCCGATTTTATGTTACATGCCATATTTAGAATATTAAGGCATTTGAAGAGGCATGCTTTTCAGGGAAGATGTTTTATCTGATGTTCTTCTACACTTGCATATTACAATAATGCTCACAAATTATTTTTCACCTCTTCCCAGAACTGAACCTTCTCTTTAAGAAGGAAATGCAACTAGTAGTGGACCTTCTCTTTCATTTAATAAATCATGTTAAAGATTTCTCTAACCGGTACCTGCTGTCTCTAGCTGAATTTTGCAGGTTTCAAATGTTGGAAAGAAAGATAAATGTCCCATTAATTATCCAGTGTGTTAAAAAAGGAAATTTCTACTTATATCCACATAAAATACCCCATTTTCAAGTGCCAAACATGCATATTATACACTTTTTTTTAATATTATTGCTTTTACAGGTCAGCAGCAAAGGCTAAAATCTCAGCTGATGAGCTTAGCAAAGAACTGAGCAGCAGTCTCGCTTGGTCAGACTCCAACATTGCTGTTATAAAGCACATATGGAACCAGCAGGTATGGTATAATTCTTCATATGGAAAGTCAATATCACTTGAGGAATTTTTTTGTATTAGTGTAAGAAAGTAGTAATTCTAAAGACAGCACATGTTTAAATAATATGAAAAAAATAGGAAGAAATTGTAGTTTGTGGTTGAAAAAAATGGATGCATCAATTCAATTCATACATCTTTGTTAAGTTGCTCATTACAAACTATATCACTCGCCCGTAATGAATAATTGTATTTCAGAAAAAAGAATGCAAATTGCATATATTATGTGATGTTGGTGTAAAATTATATATTATGTATTAAATGTTCCCTATTAGCTAAACTACACATTAAGATTACGCATACAAATCTGTTTTGCACAGATATCCTCAAATACCTTATATGATATTAAATGGCACTTGATGGCAACTCCAGCAAAATAAATTGAATATCTCCTTTGTGGTACATGTGTTTCTACAAGTTGCTATCAGTATGACATATTTTTCCCCGTGTAAATCTACAAACCTTTCTTGCTGTCTTACAGGGCAGAACGTTGATGTCTCCAGAGTTGGCCGACTATGTCCTCGGTGTCGGCAAGTTGGTGGATCTTAAATGGAAGCTGGGCGTGGCTATGAGCTCCAACAACTGTCGAAACCTCAACTCTCCATTCGTAACCATCAGTCTAAAGGTCGCCGACCCCTCAGGCCAGGTTCAAGAAAGGTCATTTGAAATGACAGTGCCACAATTTAGGGTAAGTGTCTTTGTAGCCCAAGAATGTCATTCTTGTTGTCATATAGTCCTTTTATTGATCCAAAGTAAACAGAGGTATGTCAAAGATGCTTTTCATATCCAGGAAAATCATTTATAAGAGGGAGTTTAAACTTGTAAATACATGTTAAAAAATCAAAAAATTATGTATCAAAGGTAAGAAGCAGCTAGTATTACACAAACAAAACACATGTATCCCTGCTGCATTTAACATTCAATAGACCTGTTTACTAATGTATTTCAATTAATGCATGTTTTTCCTCCAGAACCCCTAGTTACTATTGTATTCTTCTGCTATGCACTACAGCATGTCTATGGGTGGAATTAATTTTGTATTCTTTTGTTGTTGCTATGTTTAACAAGCTTTAGAGTTGTAAAGAGTATGCATAAAATGAGTAAACAGGTGTATTTTTATACATGTACATAAGGTGAAATTAAGAACAAGAAAGAATGTATTTGTCAGTGAAAAAAAGCATACCATTTGCATAATTTCCCTCATTAATAGTTGTTAATTTGTTGTGTTTGGGATCTTAATGCAGCTGCAGTGTGCAAAAGCATGTGTATGGACTTGCTCCACTGAGCTCAGGGCCCTGTTTCACAAAACTTGTTATCAATAACAATTATCAATAAATTTGAATGGCCGAGAGCAATTATGTAATAGAAATGTAGCATTTATTGTTGAAAACAAATTGTATGAAACAGGGCTCCATAATCACTTTCTTTCCTATTTGGTGCTCATTATCCTTTGTATTTCTTTCTCTTTATTTATTGTCACAGAATTTTTCCAAGCAGCTAAAGGCTATGGCAGCGGTACTTGAGACAGTATGAGAGGAACGTGTTTGATGATACAACCCTGCGGTGCTATGTTGGGAGAGGAGAGAAAGGAGAGAAAAGACAGAGAGACAGAGAAGTGGGAGGAGAGTGTACAATTGGAAGAAAACAGGAGTGTACATGTACCTATGTGCAAACAAATTCCATATCCATACATGTATATTCATATGAATTCAACAGAAACTACATTTAGAAGAAAAATTAAAAATGGACCTACAAATGATGTAAATAATATTTTTATATTTTGATGAATTCAAAAGCCAGTATCACAGAAAGAATGTATGGTTTGTATTGATATGTTGTTCTTAGGTGTGCAATGTAGGTGCTTTCTATCATCAAATATTCCTGATTTAATAAAGCTTTTAGTGGCCTGACCAACACAATTGTGACCTCTCCAGACTAAACTTGATTTACATAATAGTACTGAATGTAGTGTCATGTTTAAAAATGCCTGGTAACACAAAAGATAGTGTAGGTAGTGTAGGTAGTATTTAGCCTTATGGAGGTAGTAGATGCCAGGCATATCTCAACTCCAGATTCTAACATTAACATTCTATCTCTATATGCAATAGAATTCTGACTTTCAAGTCGTGCCTGACTAAATTTTGCTAAGTCACCTAATAAATCCAATGCGTTTGCTCCTGTATCGTCACAACTGATTTAAATTTGTGTGGATGAAGAAACTCATTCCACTCTATGTGATTAGCTTCAATGTATGTTTATGTTATGATAGTTACATTTTACGTTATATATACACCTTTTATAAAAGTATATAACTTTGTTTACCATTGTTAGTGCGCATGGGACATGCTAATATTAGACTTGCTAGACTTCACCATTGCCAAAATAAAAATACTTGTTGATCAGTGAATATTATATTTTCTTTGAAATTTCAGTGATGAGAAAATGAATAAGTAGGCAAATGGTGCTTTACCAAATTTCTAACAAATCGATACATTTTATTTCATAGAACAACTTATTCTGATATGCTTTCAGTACTCCATGTATCGATCAACCAGTAGATATTTCTGCCTTTCCATTGAATTTGTGTAAAATCCAATTTGTAATCTGTATACATGTACAATCTCTTTGCATCGTGTTTTCTAAGTCATTAATGTCATATTTTGTCAGTCCTAGAATGAAAATGTCAGCTGGATCACTTGCTTTTCACATCATGTATTCACTCAACTTCACCTGAAATTTTCATTGGTTCTCCCTTACATTGCATAATGTGATTACTTTCAGCACCTGCACAGATTATAAGGCACGTCAACCTTGCGACTCATTTCTAAAATGAACTTATTTGATACAATTTAAAGTTTTATACGTGTACATTATATATGTAAATAAAGTGATGAAATCCTTAGATCCTTCTTTCTTGTTTGTTATTATATAATAATAATAATAATAATAGCTAGTTCTTATATAGCGCTTTTCAAGACCGAAGGCCCTCTCAAAGCGCTTTACAGATATATATTATTACCCCGGTCATCGGATTCAGGCTTACCCGCACACAATGCATGCACATTCTCCACTCCCTGGGGAGCATTCCAGCCAGGCGTCATTTTTACAAGCGCACACTTGCTAATCTAAGCACATTAGCTTTCGCATCCTACCGGGTACCCATTTAACACCTGGGTGGAGAGTGGCAAATGTAGATCAATGTCTTGCCAAAGGACATTAATGCCGCGGTGGGACAATATACATATTGTCGATGCTACTTATGTTTGTTGGGTTTTTATATGATTGGTAATAGAGGAATTAGAAAGAGAAAGAAAGGGCATCTACACCCTAAGCAAAAAAACCCTTGTTTTTTTTTTACTCACATTCCAAACTTCAGTTGCAAGTTGTTAGGCGCCACCCATAAAGATGACAAAAACCCACCTCTAAAGTGTTTTTTTTTTTTTTAAATCCTCCCAAAACTCTGTTGCTTTTTGTAATGTTTATGGTCTAATTATTCAGTTTTATGCTTGATTGAGTCTTCTTACTCCTGCTTTATCGCCTACAGAGCAGAAACAAGTCGCACATGTCCCATACTCGCATAAAAACCTGAATGCATTGATGACAAGCAACACCAACAGTGGTGTAAAAGTAGTTCACAAAATAATTTAACTTATTTTTTTGCAGTGTAAACTGGCTGAGAGAGAGAGAGAATGATAAAGATAGAGACAAAGACAGAGAAAGAGAGAGAGACGAAGATGTAAAGGGAGATGGAAAGAGAAAGAGAAAGAGAGACAGAGAAAGAGAGAGAGAGACAGAAAGAATTTAATGTGTTTTCACAGGTCCTGAAGCTAAAAGAAAAAACAAATGTTTGTAATACCACTGCTGCCATAAATATTACTTTATTCTTCAAAGCAAATAGTTTTGTCACATTGCATGATAAATAGTCTTTTTACACAATGAAGAGGTCAATTAAAACAAGATAATTTTTTTGTTACTATAGAGCACTATCTTAACGCATAACATCCCGTTCTTTTAAATAATAAAAAAGCTTAACAATGGTTATACAACCTGAAAGCTAGTGGATAAGCATTGTTTGGTTTAATGTATACAATATTTTTCTGTCATGCATATAATGTTAATAGATTATTCATACCCTTACCAATTTTTTTTTTAATTTTCAAGTACCGTTATGTGAAAAAAATTGTCTTGATTTATGTTTCATGAGAAGGGGACATATTTAAGCTCACATATAATGGTCTTCAGCAAAGGCCCTAATTCAACCAGTCCACCATTCATTCTTGAGTTACGAATAACAATACAAATCAAATTTACGAAGAGTATAAATAATTAAGTAGTTAACTGTACATGTATGTTACGATTTTACTACCATCACCCATTAAATCATGTTCATATTATCATGTTCCAAATAAGCAATGCCACATGAGAAATAACAATGAAAAGCACATTTTTTATAAAAATGAACTTAACCTACCCAACTCTGTAATGACTATTAGTGTCAATAACCAAAATATGAGATAATCCTTGAATTGGATGTAGGCGGGCAAAATGTATCAAAAAAATTGGTATTTGCACCAATATAATTATATTACAACAGTACAGATCCATATGAAGAATACAGTAACACAAAGCTGCTTAATTGTTGTTTGGCAAAACTGTGTCATGACAGTATAAAACGTTACTAGCAACAAATTATCATACTAATGAGAACATGCATGTGGATTTATTCTCTTTTGACTCTCAACTCAACTCAGTGATAGGCTAATCCTAAATATTTGAACAAACAGTCCCACCTGAACTTATTCATGGTACCCTGTACTGATATAAACTTATCATTATTTGAGAATCAAAAGCAGTAAAGGGCTTTAAACTCTGGCGAATCTTCAAGAGGTTTCTGGAGCAAGTTCAGGACCTTTAGTCAGTTTCAGTTTCTTTACATTAGTAGATCCACACAGACATTTGCACACACCATTTGAAAAGATAAGTATCGTTGTCTCAAACCTAGCAATGAATACTTCATTTTCCAATTCAAAACCTACAATCAACTTCTATTCATATGTATAATTTCAATCTAAATGTAAAATGCTAAACAAGCATGATTAATGCTTTAATTTAACTTTAAAAGAATTGCATACATTTTTCTGTATAGTACTACTAGTATATACTTTGCCCTACAGCTATTCTGGACCCACATCTTAAAAGAGCAAGAAATAAATAAAAATAAAAAATGACCCAAAAAAGAAAGAGAAACGAACATATAAAGAAATGTAAATCTACTATTAGTATCACAAAATATATGGTTCAAAACTTGAAACGAGATGCAACTTGAGGGTAACTAGAAGGATTTACCGGTATTTGAAAATGTTGACCATGTATATGGATGCATATGGATGTACGAGGGTACATTTGGACCTTCATTTCTGGAAATGCATGTCCACTGGTTGTACATCCTTTCACGCCCTTATGCTGAGAAATCAAAGTTTCTAGTCTTCTTCAGTTTATTGCAACAAACTTCCTTTCACACATTATTTAATTACTTAATTAATATTACTTAATCTAAACTGTCTACAGCTGAGAATCTTTAAAATAAATGAATTCTGATAGGATAAAAAGACTGCATCTTGAAGTTGTTGGGTTGATGACTGTTAACTGGTGTGTTTGAATTCTTTACGTTCACAAGCCATAATACTATTAAGTAATATGAGTATCTTAGTATCACACATAATAAGAATTATTCAATATAACCAGGTCTAAGCAGAAAATCTTATTATTAAATTAATCTGATAGAAAAAGATTGCATCTTGAAGTTTTTGGTTTGATGCATCTTGGCTGGTGTGTTTGAGTTCATTATGTTCACAAGCCTTAATACTAGAGTATCATCAATCTCACAAATAATAAGAATTATTCAATATAACCAGATCTAAAGCTGAAAGTCTTTTCAATAAATGAACATGAAGGAACAAAAATAACATCTTGAAGTTGATACCTCTTGGCTGGAGTGTTTGAGTTCTTTACGTTCACAAGCCTTGAAACTTAAGTATCATTAATCTCACACATAATAAGAATCATTCAATATAACCAGATCTAAAGTTGAAAATCTTATAAATACATGAATTTGAAAGAGAAAGATTGCATCTCTTGTTCTTGACTCTTAGCTGTTGTGTTTGAGTTCCTTACGCACACAAGCCTTGAAACCTTCCCAGCCAGCCGGCTTCTTCAGATGTTCCTACATAGCATGGAGAAACAGGAGAACAGGTCAAAGGTCAGTCAGTAAAGTTTGGGTAACATTGCCTCAGATTCTGAAACAAACTCCTGAATTCAGCTCATGCTGCAATAACATTTATAAACCTTTAGGTCAGTCAAGAACCCAATGACTTTTACAAGCCAATCCCCTGTCTGATTATCAAGATATTTATGATTGGAAATCGAAATCAAATTTTGTGTTTTCCTAAAGGTTTTCATAACACTACAGTCTATTGGGGAAAACGAGTATACATACTACTACTGCTACTACTATAACTAGTAGTAATACTATAAGAACTAGAATTTATGGGGCTACTCCTACTGCTACTTTTGCCTCTTCTGTTAATACCACTCACAAACACTACCTCTACAACTACTTGTGTTACTTTTACCACTATCAATACCACTACCTCTATCACTACCAACAATAGAGCTAAACTACTATGATAACCAATACTAACGGTACTACCACTACCATTATCGCTTCAAGTACTTGTGCTAATTCTTCAACTAACAATATCACTACCACAATAACTACCAATACCGCTACCACTATTAATACCATTACCTCTACAACTATCACTACCCCTACCACAATCACTACTGCTACCACTACGACTACTGCTACTACCATCAAAATCGCCACCACAATCACCACTGCTACCACTACCACTACCACCACCACTCACTCTGAACCCTCTATGTATTCTATTCTTCATCACTCCTAGGAACTCCTTCTGGCTCAGTTTGCCATCACCTGTATATGCAAGGGTAAGAAATAAGAATTTGTTGATTGAGCAAATGTTCACAAAGACCAGCAATTCTTAACGTTTTTTGTTTTATTTCCTTAAGATCTCAAAATAAGTTGCAAATCAATTTCTTATCAGCTAGATTAAGTAGCAAATGAAGTAAATTATACTTTATAAAACCCCACAGAAATATTACTGTTTATGATCTGAATTACGCCTTGTTTTCATTCTCAATAATTTCCATGAAAAATTGTTATTCAATGGATTTAAGGTGAACAACATTTGGGGGCTTCTATATATTCCAAATTGGAGCATGATCAAGCTGAAATTCCTCTCATTATGTGTTAAAACATGATACGTTGGTAAGATATACACCTAGCGTGCTCCATATTGGATTGCATACAAACATAAATTTGTCTTTTATCACTCCTTGCAAAATTAATTATCGAGATAAACAGAGATAAACGGTGCTTATAAAGCGCTCACCACCGAAGTCTCTAAGCACTATAACAAACAAAATACAATGATAAACAATTCCATATTAAAAACAAAAATTACAATACATATAAAATATACATCAATGTGAACAGAGTAATTTAATCATCAAAAGCAATTTTGAATAAATGTGTCTTAAGATAAGTTTTGAATTGATTGACTTGCTCTCTAAGGAAAGAAAACTTGGACTGAAAACCATGTCAACTTATCAACACATGTGGAACTCGAGTGTGGGACTAGTACCTACCGTCTTTATCAAAGATCTGAAATACTGTATGCACTATGTGCTCATCAAGATTCTGACCAGTAGTGACATTCACAGCTCTGCAGAACTCGTCTGAAAATGAAGTAAGCATATGAAAGTCTCAGTTACAAGCATAAATACATGATCCTCATGACCGTATTTGACTTTATAGATTCATAATCATCATCGTTATTGACTACCAAAGGTCCATTTCTAAATGCTTTTTGCTACTTAAAGATAAAGTTGAGTTCTGGTCATGTGATTGCATTGTGAAAGAAACGGTGTGAAATCTATCAAATAAGGTTGATCATCTAGTATATAAGTATTTGTGTGTATTGCAAGGTTCTGGAATCATCAAAATGATAAGAAATTTGGCAAAATCTTGGCAAAGTTACAAGCACTGTACAGAGAATGATGTATATAGGACTACACGAACACATGGCGAAAAAATCCTACCCGGATTTTTACGATGTTTCATGTCATATTTAGAATATGAAGGCATTTGAAGAGCAATGCTTTTCAGGGAACATGTTTAATCTGATGTTCTTCCACCCTTGCATAATAACAATTATAACGCTCACAAATTATTTTTTACCTCTTCCCAGAACTCAACCTTCTCTTTAAAGTCATTTACATTTTGTGACATTATCACCTTAATGAAGCAACATAGAATGGTGGAAGTGGTCAACAATCAGTATTTGCTATATCCCAAACAAATTACTAATGTTTGAATTCTGTCGTTAAAAAAGGTGAACAAATATTAGAATTTAAAAGCAATATTTTGATAAGAAGTGACTATACATACTGTATAATTGACTTCACAACAGTTCTTATCAACTTCTGAAAGTGTAAACCTCAGTTGGAGTTAAAATGTCATTAAAGAAAAAAAAAAAACTTTTAAAATTTATAAACAAGTATCCATTTTCTCTGACATTCTGCTTTACAAACAAAGTGACTAAAGGTTTGAATTTCCTACAACTTGAAAGTACAAAATAATAGTAATAATAATTGAATGTTGTTGTATAGTGTATAAAAACATAGACATAATTGCATGTTTCTATGCACTTTAAAAAAAAAGAATACAGAAGGAGTGAAAATGGTGCACTGGGTTCATAATTGTGAGCATGATTTCACACAGTGCTATCAAATAAATATGTTTTCAAATCACTTTTTGTATGTTTCTACATTTGTTCATATAGAAATAACAACTGGGAGTGTTTCACAAAGATCCTAAGTTGAAATTATCTCTAAATTGGACTTAACAATTATGGAAAGCTGTTAGCATTTTTGAAATATTTTGTAAAAGTTATTTTCAAAGGCATAAAATGTTGATTCAAATCGTTCATATTTTCTATTATCATGGGAGATTTCATGTTCTTGATGTGGAATTTATGACAAGTCTAAAATATCTGAATTTTTGCTTTTGAATACATTTAATTTTAAGTCTACAAATGGCTCTCCATAATTTTGAAGTCCAATTTAGAGTTAAGTTTGACTTAGGATCTTTGTGAAACACCCCCCTGGACCTTCCCCTTTACGCTAAAACTGAAAAGACTAGGGGGAGGGGGGGGGGGGAAACACCCCCCACATGTTACCTTGAGTGATGGGTTGGTCAGCGAACGTGTACATCCTCAGAACAATCTCAAAATCATCCAGATGATTGATGAACTGAAAGAATTCTGTGAAGCTCTCAAAAGAGATACCCTGTATTCAAAGAATTATTGGAAAAGAAAAAGAACAAATTAATTTACAAAGTCGCTGATCTCGCATTTTTAAAAGCCCTAATGAGGCCGTGGCGGGGGGGGGGGGGGGGGCATTATCGCCCCCCCCCTTCCACGATTTTTCTGATTGTTCGGGAACGCATATGGATGGCGCCCCGTCGCTCACTGACTTTTTTCTTTCGAGTCTTGCGCATCTTTTAAAACAATTTTTTTGAAAATCGGACCTACAGTTAAAAGGTCACGTGACCTTTTGTCTTTGTATGTCAGCCCCAAAATCGCTCATTTTCGTGATTTGTGTACAAAACATAAGGAAATGTCAATAGATCAAACATTGGTTATTGGGTCTTGTTTAAAGTAAAGGTGGTTGTTTTGGGAGTTAAAATAGTTGAATTGTAGTTAGAAATGAAATAAAACAACAAAAACAATAAATACATAAGTTCAAAAACAATGAAATACATAAGAAATTATCAAAACAAGAGATAACATAAGGAATAAGCTGGCACTTCCAAATGTTTTGTCATATTATTATTTCAAATGGTCTAATAAATATATTTAGTGAAAAAGAATGCTTAAATATGAATAATATATGATTTATGGGTAAAAATGTGATTTGTATGACCTTATTTGCATAAATTACCATAAATATGCAAATGAGTGAATTTTTCAAAAAATTGAAATCACCATAGTATTCTATACACTTCACTTGACATGCGTGCAAATTTTTGCGGAGATCGGCCATTTCACGACGAGATCTCAAGGGGGGCCATAATGCCCCCCCCCCCCTGCCGTACTAAGACCTCAAATAGCCTGGCCCTTTTAGGATTAAGGCTCATTCACATAGGCTGCAGTAAAAAAGGGAAGCGTGATGGCTCAGTGGTAGAGCAGTGGTCTCGTAACCTGGAGGTCCCGGGTTCAAAACCATGTCGATGTGCTCCGGTAAGGCATGGATCCTCATTATCAATTCCCTTGGAGAGGACTTATAGCCGTCCGGTCCCCTGGTTGTTTACTTACAAGTATATACATGCTTTCTTAGCCAGCAGTCAGTAAAACAGATAAAGAAACAATGAATTGCCATGGTTTTATGTACTTTTGTGCTTTTTTCTTGAATGGTCGTATAAATAATAATAATAATGATAATAATAATGCGCTCAACAAAGGTCATTCGCATATCCACTTATCTGTGTGATATAAGATACAAATGTGTGAAGTGCAGTACTACACCTCCTCCACCCTGTGTGTTAACTGTGGCAATTTCGCAGAATAAATGGTCTGATTGGGGGAGAGAATTTTTGTTAAATGAATGAACATTAATAGCAAAAATTTGTGCAATGTGATAGTAAATGTTATTAGGCTTTGCCTCTTTTTCAAGTTTCATTTATCATAAGAATCATATGTGGCAGTGACAACTATGAATATTAATATCGATCTTTTGCAGTATTCATGATTTTAAAATGCAAACATTTCATTTGATAATATGTGATGAATATGTAAAACTGCATACAACTGTTTTTTGCAAAAGAAATTTGAGTGACATCCATCGATCATAACCTGCTGAATTATTCATGACTTTTAAAATTGCACACATTTGATTGGAACATGCAAGGAAAATGTTCATCTGTAAACACTGAATGGTATTACCCCCCAAAAATAATCAGAGATGGTATCTTTCCTTGTATGTTTCAAGCAATGAAAATAGGAGACAAAATCAAACTTCACATTGAAACAAAAAAATACAGCGCAGGTTACACAAAAACCCCTAAAATAAGGTCATGTTTTTCAGGTGAATATCTAGCAACATAATTTGTATCTTTAAACGGGAGGTAAGGCAGCTTTTATCTAAACCTTTCTTGCATTTATACAGTCATACATGACAGGAGGCTCAACTGTTTAAGCAATTGTTTGTTAAATCTGCTTTCTCTTGCCAAGTGATGCCGATGCCAATAGGGATTGTGCTTGTAATATTTATCCACTTTTCCCCCAAATTGCTCTTTTTGGCTAATGAAGCCCTGGTGTGAGCACGCATTTTCTACAACCTACTTAATACTGGCATAACGACCCCCCCCCCCTCCCCCTCCCCCGTCCAAATATCACCTGTTCTTATTTATGTAGGCCAAACCTACTTTTAAGGGGACTATTCACCAAAAGAAATAACATGTTTATTACTGAAACACATTCAATAATTCCAAAAATTATCCAGGAAACTCAATTTGTTAGCAAGTGAAAAGCATACAAGGAAAATTTAGGCCTGCAAGAATTCATTTTGAGTGCTCTTTGAATATTTAAGCGTACAATGTCTCTTGAATACAAAAAAAAAACAATTGTATGTAGCAGTAGCTCTTCATTAGTCAAAGAAGCATTAGTTTACCAATAATCACCATAATAAGCAATTCAGAGGATAACTTGCAAGAAAGCTTCCTCCATTTACACCCTAATAACTGCCTACCAATTTCCCCTGAAATGCAAGCCATGAAACATAAGCATTTATTATATTAAGTCTAGTATTGTGGTACACTATACTTCCATTGTATCAAGTCCACAACCATGTCAACAAGTATTTGCTTGTATAGCATACATCTGTATGACTACTCAATTTCTATCAGTTTGGAATTATTTAGTCAGCATCTGCCAGCATCAAAAGGGCACAGCTTCAAGTTAATTGCCATATAATTTGTTGCATACATATTTTCATTATCCCATCAAATTCATAGTGATAAAGCAAAATTATATACAAGAATAAAAAAATATGGCCAGTAATGTTATCTTGAAGCAGCAGCTTTGGTTGTTATTTTGCACTTCTAAGCCGGCTCAACAAGATGATGATTTGAAGAGTATTGTACTTACTCTTTCACCGAAATTCATCTTTAGTAGGAAAAGATATCAAAGAATATCAAAATGATGTATGATTTTCTTCCAAATTCATAATTTAAGTAATTTAAGTATTTTAAGGGGAAAATCTTGATCAAGAAGAACATTTTCATACATTTTTTTTTTGTCAATGATTTTTTTTAAAGAAAGGTCAGAGGTAAAAAAATGTTTTAAGTATTTTGAAATAAAGAGTTACGGAGACTTCTTACTGAATTTACCTTTTTTTCTACATAAATGTGTTTTAATATTTTTTGTTAAAAAAGAATAATTTTTACACTGATTTAACCAAAGAGGAAGCCTTTTTATTTTCTTCAATCATTCTTACATTACATATTTATGTATATTCTGACTCAGTGAGTTACCACCCAAACTGTTACCCTTCCTTTTCTTTCTTCTTTTTAATCACATTTTTCATTTAGTATGGATGCATCGTTAATAGATTCATTCCACTCATTCACAGTAGATCTTAAAGGATGTCTGTACTAGTTTGGCTAGGGGGATTAGATCACTCTGAAGGTCACTGACAGATGGTATCTCATCGAATCAGCTCTCAATTAACATTAGAAATAGAGGATCATGGGGGACCAGTGGTCACCGATTAGGCATTGTTTGCTATATAGAGGGCGCAAGCAGCTCCAAGTAGTACAGTGGGGCTTTAAGATTGGTACCTTTTCTTCTGGCATGCGTTCTCAGACCCTCTGCACATACTCCTCCAACTCGTTCTCTAGTTTTACATACTTTTTCAAAAATTCATAACTTTCTTATTAGTTATCTGGTGTTGCTCAAACTTTTTTGATTGGTTTGTCTGATTTTTCTGCTTCTATTGAAAGTAAGTTATTTTTGGAGTGGACCTGTACTTTAAGATTGGTACCTTTTCTTCTGGCATGCGCTCTCTGACCCTCTGCACGTACTCCTCCAACTCTGCATCTTCCAGGTGTGTGTAGCGCAGGAGGATGTTAGCAAACTCGGCCTCACCGATGCTGGGCATCCCTCGAGAGAACTCATAGAAGTGGGGGAGGGGGGAGGAGAGGATAGTCAAGGAAAACACAACATTCAAAGTGATACAAAGCGGAGATGCTCAGATGAGAACAACCTTATTGACAACTGTCTTCAGGCACATTCCCCATTTATTACTTTAAAACTGAAAGGCTAGGGAAGGGGGGGGGGGGGTTGTGGAGGAGGGAGGTTTAATATTGATGATTACGTACTCTAAGAACCTTTTAATGTGATAGTCTTGGACAACTGCCTCTTGGACGGCTACTCCTAGAAAACCTCCCTGGATCACAGGTGGATGTTGGGGGGCAGTACCATCCTATTCCCTGCACTTAAATACAATTGTGCATACATCAGTACACCAAAAAGATGTGCCCCCAAATGGACTCCCCCTTTAATGTTAGACCCAGAAAACTTGTAAAGGATAGGACAACTAAACTGGGACAGTCTTGAGAAGCTGTCCCAGCAAGAATCTCCTGAGTGAAGCTGACCTAAAGTGTAATTTTTGCAGGGCCAAGAGTTGTCCTGGTACAACATTTCAAGCACAGGTGAAAACAGAGTGGTTTTTGTTGTTTGTTCAGAGCCAGAAGGGCCAGCTCTATGTTAAAGTACATTAATTAATGCCCTTCTGGTTCCAAAGAGATATCTTTTGGTTGTTATTTAAAGCCTGTCTGTACTAGTTTGGCCAGGAGGGATTAGACCACCCAGTGTGGTCACTGACAGGTGGTTATCTCATCAACTCAGCTCTCAATTAAAATAAGAAAAAGAGGATCATGGGGGAACCAACAGGCACCGCTTAGGCATTGTTTTCTCTATAGAGGGAGCAAGTAGCTACAGTACAGTGGGGCTTTAAACCAGTAAGGTTTTATAATACAGGAAAGAAAGTAATTTTTTTTTTACAGGTATGCAATTAAGCCATGAAAGGATATTTCCAGTTCAAGCACCTCCGTCTGCAGATTGTCCATAAACCTAGAGATGGAAAGACAAAATACAAATATGTGATGAATCATTGGAAATGATGCTAAAAAATGTACAAAATACATGATTGTTGATAGACATGACCAATCATATCATATATACATGTACATAAAAGTTGGTGACATTTTATGCGTATTTAATAAATGATAAACATCGTCATTGAAGCAATTCACTATGTACTGTATGAGAGAGATAATAGTTCATAAGCTATACTGAATAGGTTTATGACAAAATGAAACCTGTATATATTATACAAACTGTTAAAGGGAGACGTGAACAGTGGTCTTTACAGGCAGGTGGACTTTAGGTGCAGGTTCATTTAGTACAGGTTTCGATAGGAAACTGTTTTCAAGGGAAACAAAAAAATGTGGTCTTTACGACAGTGTGGTCGTTCTATACAGGTGGTCGTTAAAGAAGGTGTGATTGTACCTAATTTGCCTCTCTGTCTACCTTCATAAAAAAGAACTGAAAAACATTATGAAGAAATCAGTAATTCTTTGTAAATCATACTTCATGGAGTTTTTTTAACACAGTAGTTTCATCAGAATAACTGAAGGATTCTAAGGATTGTACAGATAGTTATTTTTTACTGATAAATGTTTCTTCTTACATTGCAAATGTCTTGTAGTCCAGCGTGTCTGTTCCTTTTGGTCCAAAGAAATATCGAAGAAGGGTTGTTTCGTTGATCTTCAGCTGTTTAAAATAGGAGTTTTTTTTTTTATAGAAGAACAAACAACGATATTAAATATCAGACTTTGAAACTGATATCCAGCAAGAATCACAATGCATTCCTATAATCGTTACAGACTTTACAATTGATACAATACTGTGCAGCAAAAGTCATTAATTATATCTTTCACCTTTATATGTTAGAATTCTGACTCTGTTATTCACTCATTACTATGTTGTTCATACATGTTGTTTCCCCATAGTTTCCCTTTCCCCTCTGAAATACATGTAGAAGTAAATATCATAATTAAAAACTTAATGTGTTTTATCATACTGCTCTGTACACAAACTTTACTTTAGCATTCCTCAATCCATAGTGGTAGTAGGCCTACTCTTTTATCATAGGACTATTGATATCTATTTCCTAATTCTTGTGAATCTTATTTGTTGATGTTCTTGTTTTCCTCACTAAAATGCAATTGTGATTTTCACGACTATAGGCAATAAACCAAATGTATCATACATTCATTTGAGTAGTCAAATTGAATGGATTATTTTTGGGTACAAAAGTCCTGTTGCATGGTCGTTAAAATTATCAAAGCTGTAAATAAAACGTTGTGCTTTTATGAGACTTTGTTTATTCATCTTTATTCATGAACATACATACAACATGATAATTATTCAATGCTATTTTTATGCAACAGGGCTCATCCTATAATACATTTCTGTCAGTTAAGTCAGAGGGACATTCATAAAACTTGTGCAGAGAGCAATATATTGTATAATAAGATATGTATATATATGTGTATCTAATAATTTTTTTAATAATTATGTTTAAAATGCTGATTTTTAAACTTTCAAATTAGTGCTGAAGCATAAAGTGAACACAACCATTTACTATTTTGCACAAAAACGATACAGTACCATATTTAGTTTGAGAATATATTAGCTACAATAAATGAGCAAAACTTCAAACAAATATCAGCGTGCTTGCCCTTGTAAACCGTGTTAAAACCCTTACTGTAGAAAATATTCACACCACAGCCAAAAGGCCTTTTAATGTCACTTGGTTATAAAGCAAAAATCACGTCAATTCCTCGTTTGGAAAGCAATGTGCGATTGTACTCTAGCACCAATTTACTGGATAATATGACTAGCGTATTACACATCAACCATAATTTCATTTGTTAGAGATCTCATATATTTCTGTTTAAGCCAGAGAATACAATTAGATTTCAAACAACATATCATTTCATCCAAGGAAGGATTATGATGGTATTATTGAATCATAAGGGCTATATCCCACAAGAGAACTCTTACTATGAAATATTGAAAAGTTAATGGAAGTAGCTTGAAATTTGGTGACAAGGACGAAGAAAGCTTTTCAATAGAGGGAGCGAAGTAAGAGAAGGAAATATTATATCAGGTATAAAACTGCTAGTGAATACAATGCGTCTTAACAAGTTTTGAGGATGAAAATGATGTCTTCCGAGCAAGAGCATTGGCTAGGAAGTAGAAACAGTGCGTTTGCTTCCTAATGTGAAACAGTATGTCTGGGCAACCTAATCTTCACATCACTTGCATAAATGGCAAATCACTTGTCTCATTAAAAAAAAACTTATTATGCTACTTTCCCACTAGGGTAAATACTTGGATATCGCTATTCGCTTGCACTGTGCAAGTGAGAAGGTGGGTTTGTCCTATCCTATTTAAAGTTGTTGAGCAAGCAAAAAATAGCTTACAAATTTCATATACATTACCAAGCATGTTTTAAGGTTAGAAATAGAGAAAGGCATTTGAAATGTCATCTGCTGACATTCTGAAAGTCATTATTAGTACTTCACACCTTTTTAGCTCTCTGTGTTTTCATCTTAGTGCTATCGTATTGTCAATTTAGAAACACAATTAGTAAAGAATCATGTACAAATCATTATCATTCTTCTTTCTCTTTTATCTGTTCACCCTCTTCCCAATCTATAAATGTTTATCAGTTTGAGTACCTTTTACTTAAAATATTTGAAATACATCATACATAGTGAACTATAAAAACATATATCTATTTCTTGTACATTCAATAAATACACTATGTATCCAAAATTTCTTACACAACAAAATACACAAAATATAGATCGAACAGTTGAAATGGCTGAAAACAATAATAGATGAAAAGTATTCATAGCTTTTTTACAAAAAATTACCAATACTAGGTTTGAAAATATGGCATCTTAACAAAAAATTTACTTTGCAAAAGGTTAATTTCAGATCTAAATATGTGGATTTGAAATGACTGAATGATACTATAAATTTCAGCTTAAACAAAGCTACAGAAACACCTATTATCTATAAAAAAAAAATACAATATGAATTTGAAGGGAATTGAAGCAATTATGAGAGAGGCTGATGAATTAAATGCATTGCTAATTAACTTTGTTTCATCGTATATAATAATAGGTGTTTTTTTAATTAAAAGAAATTATGTAATAAACTATTAAAACAGGGTGGAAAGGGGGAGGGGGGGGGTAAAGCTAAATGGGGGAAGGGGGAGGGGATTGGTCTCTTCTAACGGCAGACTGGGTTGTAAATTGCAACAAAAAGAGATTACAGTAATGGGGGAAGGTAGGTGTAACTATGGTGAGGAAATATGCAAAATTGGGAGGGGGAGGGGGGGGGGGCTGGTTTCACTTTCATCTAAAGGCATGCTGGGTTGAAATATGCGAAAAAGATTATAGTACTTGGTCCCACACAGTCGAATTCATGTAATCAGTCAACGGCACTTCACCCGGTTTGAAATCACAGCTGGCAGGCTGGTATAATGGGGGAAACGGAAATGCAGGAATAAAGATGCAGACAGCAACGGAAAATACACTGCAAATATAATCTTTTTGATGAACATCGAGAGAAAGATATGATAGAATAGATGAAGGAAGGTGAAAGAATAGAAAGTCAGAGAAAATGGTAGAAAGTATGTGTTGAAGGAGGATTGCAGAAAGAAAACAAAGGAAAGACAAAGGAAAGAGAAGGGGTGATCGAGATTGAGGGAGGGAGGGAGGGAGGGAGGGAGGGAGGGAGGGACAGAGAGAGAGAGGGAGGGAGGGGGAGAGAGAGAGAGAGAGAGAGAGAGTCGGAGAGAGAGAGAGAGTCGGAGAGAGAGACAGAGAGAGAGTCAGAGAGAGACAGAGAGACAGATAGAAGAAAGAGCTAAGGTGAATGAAGGATAAAGAAAGGAGAGAAAGTGATGGCGCAAAGAGACAGAGCTTAGAAGTGAGTGAATGGGACAAATAGAAGGAGGGAAATGGGGGAATGAGGAAGAGAGGGAGAGGGGAGAGAAAGATAGAAAGAAAGAAAAGAAACACTAGAAAAAGAGATAAAATACAGTTGATGAGCTCATTTAAAGCACTTCTTTCAGAATTTCATCCAGAGTTCTCAACTCTTACAAACAATACCAGCAATAAATGCATTAAAGGTGATGCATGCCAGGAGCAATCAAGTCAATAGCGCATGCACACAATGCACACGATGCACACAAGATGCCTCTTATTCGTAAGTGTAGGGTAGGGTATTACTCATGCAATGTGCTGTAAACAGTATGATTTATTCCGAAACAACACACAACTTTTATTTGTCGATAAGATCAAATAACTACTTATGTTACTGCATTGGAAATTAGTTTCATAATTTCATTCTCACTTGAAATTTGATTCGTTAAGATTTCTCCCATTATTTTTTGTTCAAATCTATCTTTTGTCTTTCAAAGTCCACAAAATCAAGTTTTTAAAACTTTTCTTCAAAACCTTGTATCACTTTTAAAATTCACACTCAAGCGAACAAATTTAATTAAATTTTTTAAAAGATACATCCATCTGGGCAAAAAAAGGTGAGTCACACCATTTGATATGACCCTGAAGAATGGTGGTGGACTAACAAACGACTTTCCAATTTTGTCATGGCCAATAATGATATTAAACTATAATGTTACATTTCCATTTATTACTCACTTATCAAATAAAAAAGCATTTACATGTACTTCTATGAAAAGAATTGATGCTTTTGTGTCATAATCTAGACCAATTTAGGTTTGGGCCAAGGCAAGATGAAGTTTTCTTTTAAGAGGCATTTATGTCCAGGTTTCATAGTCCCGACTACAAAAATGAAATGGCTATGGGAACCCATATCCATCAGTTCTACCCCACCTATTTGTAAGGTTGCAGATTTCCTAGCATCTTGATTTAAAATAACATTAAAAAGGTCTTTTAAGCTATACTAAGTCTACATCTTACATAGATCTCTTATTGTGCACCTTTTGCAGTGCATAGTTTGAATGAATGTCGTGTGGAGGCGAGAGTGTGATTACAGCAATCTTCATACTCTTAATGGGACTAATTTAACTTAACTTTTTCTTTCACTTAGCTGAACATGTTCTATTCAAGACTGGGAACATAAGTTTATGATCTAAACAATATGAGTTATCCTACATTATCAATATCATATGGAACAATTAAGAACAATTAAGAACAAAAACTATCAACAAAGGCGGTAAACATCTCATGAAAACTACAAAATCATTAAAGTGAGGAGGGAGGGGTGTGCACAGTCATGATGCAAAATGCAAATATTGTGGTTAAAAGTTTTAATATCAATCCATATCTTCAAAGCAAGCTAATACCTTATCGTGATAAAGGGTTAAAACAGAGGAATGCATGCACAAGTGCATATAGTGTTTAAGGTATCAAAATGTGACAGGTGTAACAAAATCAGGTGACAGAGGTCATGTGACATATGCAAATTTAAACAGAGGTGGTCATGTGATATCTGCAAGAATCAGGTGATGTATATGGAATGCAGGTACAGGTACATCAGTTGAGTGGACACAATGATTAACAAGTGAATGGTTTGAATTAGTAATTAGCATAATAATAAGCAACTCATTTGCATCTCACTCCTATTAGTTAGTCACTTAAAATGAATTTAGTATTTGTTAGGAAAAACACTGATTTATTGTCAGAACACACAAACACAAATGTTGTTAATTCATCCTATAAACAGAATCGTGAACCAACACAGCCAAAATACTGTTTAGACCAGATGTGAGGGGAAATATTAAATGATATACATCAATATATATATGGAAAGGAAAAGATAAGATTTAATATTATAAACAACTCAACTTATACTGATTGAACGAATTAACTTTATAAACAAACTACTGAGTTTAAATACATTTTTAACACAAAAATTCCACACCCCCTCCCCCCCCCCCAAAAAAAAAAAAAATTATTGCATCAAATGTTGTGAAAAGAACTCCTTTTCGATACACAATATTCAAGAAATCTATTTAAAAAAATAAAAAGTACACAAATATTTTTAGCCTGTGGAAAACTTCACAAGATTGAACATTATCCTGTATCACATGATTATTTCAATCAGGGTATGTGATACTGTACTTGGTTTGTAGTTTTGATTTTTGAATTTTATGACATAAAAGAATTTTGACTGTATCAATAAATAGTGAGAACAAGAGAAATACCTTAGGTATAAGTATGGAAACACCCTTCACCTCTTCTGACTAACACACAAAAATATTCACACATTTAAATAGACTTGTTCCACAGCAATGTCAGGGGAGATATAGAACTACGGTGACGGGTCGTGAAATGGAACGATGTAAGGACAAAACTTGGGGCTTACTTAGATGCAAGGGCGTCAACAGGTTCTCAAAAAAGAGAGTAAGGGTGGGGTGGGTATTTTGGGGGGAGAGAGTAAAGGGGGTAGGGTGTGGAAAGAGAGCCCCCACTCCTGCTGTCAATTTTTTTTATGTGTAGGATTTTTTTTAAATAGGCATTTTAATGCACTGTAGAGTGAAAAAAGGTAAAATAAAAGAGTTGGGGGGGGGGGGGGGTTGGGCGTGTTCCCCTGTTCCCGCCTGTTGACATCCTTGCTCTGATGACACTCTTTGTGATGTAATATGACACTGATGATGTAATCTATACCACTCATATGTAACTCACATAATTCAGGCATATTGACAGCTAATGTTCAACAAAAAAAAAAGGATGACAGAAAAAATGGATTTATTGCTCTTTCAGGAAAAAGGTAGATCTTACTTCAACAAATGCATAGCTTAATCACAAGAAAGAAATGAAAGCTTGCAACATATTTCTGGTAATGAAATGCTGCTCGGAAATGAAATGCTGCTCAGAAATCAATGTGAATCTGTATTTTATGGTAAAGATTTGTTGTTTATGAATGCGACAATGACTTCTGAAGCATTTCAATAATGAAAAAAATATTTCGACTTTATATGTTACCAATTTAATCATGGGGTACAGCTTTGTAAATTGAATTGCAGTAAATACCAACAAATCCAACTTCTTGATATCACAGATAACCTACAGTATGTGACTGAAAGCCCATTTGCAATCACATTGCTCTATCTCATTGCAAATGTAACAATTTCTATCTCTGCCATTTAACGATAACGTAAAATCTAAAAACAAGTACCGGTATATCTGATATTCTTTCATAAAGCCTTGAAAATACATTGCTGTAAAGCATGCGCAATAAAAACATTTACAATGTCATCCCCGTGAAAAGATCTTTGCAGAAAGAATATAAGATAAATATAGTTAAACCACTGTTTATCATCAGTGGACAAAATGTTAATAAGTACAATTTCTCTTCTTGTCTTAGAATATAGTTAATGACCATATAGATAGAACTAAGAAACCTTATTTTAGTAAGAGGATATTTTTCACTTTTAAAAGTGAGTTAGGGTTAGGGTTATTGTCCTATATGTTTCAATATAATGTTTAGATCAGACCTTCAAAACCATATATTAGACAATATATATATTGTCACATATACTCACATGAGATACATTCTAATCGTGATAGATTAGGTGTTTAAAAAATTAAGATAAAGAAAAAAAAACATGCATGTTTGACTGAAAAACATTTAACAAAGATCATACAGTTGTTACTAACCATGAAATGTCAGTAATAATAAAGGTTGCAACGTAGTCATGAAAATAGTATTTGACAAATAAAAGTGATATTACATTCGGCAAAGTAGATCTGTTTTTTGACAAAGCTGTAAATATCCAAAGTTCATTGTAAGAACCTCAATACAATAGATACATATCTAGGGATAGAGGGTAGATGTATATCCAAATTTAAATTGCTCTGATTCTATGAAACACATATGCTTTATAGAAACAGACATTTATCACTTTTTTTGATGTTGCATAACTATGTATGCATTCCTTTTGGAAAAATGCATTTTCATCATTTTCCAGTTTGTTATTATTCTTTACATTTATAGACATCTTATATCTTATAATTCTTGTAAAACCCGTCCTACAGCAGTTCATATTTGATTGCACTTTCATGTATTTGTTGAGATAAGGGCTTGAAGTGTCTTATGCTTCAGCTTGCCAAAGGTTTGTCCGACATTGCCCATATGCTTACATACACATCTTTAATACAGATGCTAATAAAGGAGGCAATAAAGGCACCAAGATACTACTGCGTTTTAGGGTGAAAATAGATGGGGTATCTCCCATAACAGACACAAGTAGAATGGTTTAGCAAGCAAATCAGCAGTAGAATTTTTGAAATAATAGCTCCCCCATTTCAATGATATTTTAAGGAACCAATGACAAAATGGTCCATAATGTAGAAGGGTCAAGTGGTTTCAACACTTGCTTGGAGATGGGAAGATCATGGGTTCAAACCCCAGCATAAAAGCAATGTCCATGGTTAGACATTAATCTGATTTTTGCCACTCTCTTTTCAGGTGTAGTGCATGC